ATATATATATATATATACACACACACACACACACACACACACACACACACACACATTTTTTTTTTGAGAGGTTTTTGCTATAGGGTGCGTGCGCTTGCCAGACAGAAAGAGACAGAGAGACAGAAAGCGAGAAATCATACCCCGGGGGAATGGCCATGCTGCAATCCCTTCTCCTCCATTCTCCTCTCGGGATCTTGGGCACGCACGCACACACGCCCAGCGTGAGTTTTAAGCCACTGGGTCTGGGACTCGAACCGCAGTCAACTACATGGGAGTCCAGCGACATAGCCATTACACTAACTGCTGGTCCCTACTATAACTATTTATCCACTTGGGAGTCTAATAAATATCTCAAACTTCCATGTGCAAAACCGAACTAAGTACATGATTTACCTCCCATGTTCCCAAAAATCTGCTTCTCCATATTCCTCGCCAGCTGAGTAGTAGAAACTTCCAATATCTTTGGGTGACCTTCCCCTTCTATCTTTTATATGCTTCATCTAATTCATAAGCAAATCTTGTCAATGCTTCCCCCATGGTGGTCCGAGCAACCATAATCCCTCATTCTGATCACTGCAGAGGCCTGTAGGAACACTTTTGTACCATGTCCCGTCAGCCTGACAGATTTCAGCACAGCTGTGGTGGACAGCTCCATCCTCACTACCAGTTTTCCCACTTTAAGCACACTTTGGACTCTTACAATCTCAGCTGGCTCACAGTAGCTTTGCAAGGCACAGGAGGAATTATTACAATCAAGGGCAACATTCAACCAATTGGAGCAGGAATAAGTGGATATATGTCTCAGACCCTTGCCTTCAGAGAGGTAGAGCTAGGGGGAGAAAAAGAGAAATGAGGGAACAATTCTATTACCTGGACTCCTGCATATAACCCTTGCTCCTCTACAGGCTGATTTCCAAACGTCAATCTCCACTTAAAACCACTCAATAGCTCCTCACTGCCTTCTAGATGAAGTCCCAACTAGTTTGTGTGGTATCTACTTCCTTCAAAGCATGTACTTATCCCTGGAACAGCATATATCCCACTCTATTGTACCAGCCTATTTATCAGTGCTACCCTACAAAATGAAGTCTAGAGGCTGTCTTCAGTTGAAAGCAATGTCTGACAAATAACAGATGCACACCAAATAGTTATATTTATTGAGTGAATAATGCCTTTGGGCTGCAGAATGTGAGGCAGTGTTAAGACAAAATCACTTCTTGGCAACAGTATGGAGTACTAGAATCCCAGAGAGCTTCATAAACAGCCTTTATCAAAAATGTACTAGGTGGGAACTGGCAGTTAGCGTAATGGCTATGTCGCTGGACTCCCACGTAGTCGACCGCGGTTCATGTCCCGGACCCGGTGGCTTAAAACTCACGCCGGGCGCGTGTGCGTGCGTGCCCAAGATCCCGAGAGGAGAATGGAGGAGAAAGGATTGCGGCGTGACCATCCCCCCTGGGGGGTGATTTCTAGCTTTCTGTCTCTATGTCTCTGTCTGTCTGGCGAGCGCACGCGCCCTACAGTGAAAATCTCTCAAAAAAGAAAAAATGTACTAGGTTATCCTAACCTAAAATAAAAAAAAGAAAGAAAGAAAAAAAAATCTCTCTGAAACTCAACCTCAAAAATCAAAGAAGTCAGATATGATTTTGTAAGCTACACAAAATGTTTTAGTATTAAATCTCTATGGGTAAGTTCCAAAATACAGAATCTCGATCTAGACCAAAACATGTAAGTTCCTCATATCCAGTGGCTATACATTACTATGAGCTTTTGGTGTATAATATTCTAATGCAATTGTTAGCTCCATAACTGCAAAGATAATATCTATTTCATTCACCCTTATATTATCTAGTCCAATAATAAAAATTAACAGCTCACTTGTACTGAGTACTTACTTTATTAAAAGCTAAATTTTAACGCTAAGCAGGGGCTTTCGCTTTCTTCAAATGACCAAATGTGGTAGGTACTTTAATTACATTTTACAGACAAGGAGACAGAGGCATAAGAAGGATAACACAAGTCATGCAGCTAGGAAGTGGTCAGCTGAGAATCAACTCCAGGCAGTCTGGTAACAGACTCTTAATACTTCACTTTACTTTCAATGGTTTTGCTACACTGCCTCTTAGAACCCAGCACCAAGTCTTGCAGTGAATGAAAAACGAACATATATCTTCCCACTTCTAAATGCCTATAGTCAATGCTATAACAGGTGCCAGACTCTGAAAAGAATACAAGCACACCATGAAAACAAAGTTCAAATGCCAGTATACCTTCTCCAGAACTGACCACCCCATCATTTCACCTACTTCTTTTCAAGTGGCTTCCCCTTACTCTAGAAGGCTTCCAAAATATTTTAGGTTCAAGTTACAAGTGACAGAAGAAATCACACTGCACAGCACTGTTTCCTCATACCGTTGAAGAGACACCCCCTAGTTTAATGGTTTCCACCGTGGTCCCTGAATCTTCAACAGCTGTCTTCTTCTCCGGAGGCACAGATGTACCAGGCTCTCCAGCCGCTCTTTTGTTTCCAATTCCTGACATCTTGGCATAAGATGAGAGCTGCTTTCCTAGAGGAAAAACAGGAAGAAACTGAGGTAAGATATGCAAGGAGAGCAACAAAAAAAGGACACATATGATGCAAAAACTAGCATCTTTTTTCTGGCAAGTTCTTTAACCTGGATCCATCAATTCCACACCAAACACCACCATCTCCAAATCCCTCTTTGAAACTTAAATAATAAACTGTGGTGTACGAATCATGGTTGAACTTATATGACTACAGATTTCTAAAAAGGATGCTGGTAAGGAGTAAGAGGTGAGGGCTGAAGAGACCAATAAATTTCAGAAATCTTGTTTCTTTTTTGTCTTTTAAGAATTATTTTTATTTAATTTTATTTATTATTATTATTACCACTTTTCCTATTTGCTATAGGGCACGGGTGCTCACCACAGAGAGAGAGACAGGGACAGAGAGAAAAAATAAGTGAGAAAACAAGCTGCCAGGTCCGGGACTCCCACTCCACAATGTGGGAGTCCAGTGCCCCTAGTTTCTTAAAACACCAAAGTACAGAAGTTTTACTAGTTTAATTAGTACAGAAGTTCAGTCTATGCTATTGAAAGACTCATACACCTGAAAGAGATCCTGGAAATGTCTACTAAGCCATTAATATTGGACAAGTAAGTTATGATCTCTGAGCTTCAGTTAAACCAGTAACAACAGTATCTATCACCTATGCTCATAAGGAATGAATGATAAAAGCATAGAAAGAACACAGCACAACGCTGGACATAAAGCAAGCATTCGGAAACCCAGCTCTCCCTTGAGCAACTGCAGTTTATTCCTTATTTCCAAATGTTCTCACCACTATTTCCTGCGACCCTAGAGAAGTTACACACGAGTACAAATCCCAGTCCTCTGTTAGGGAGCCACGCTGCCTTGAAAGAGTAAACTTTCGAAGACCTTCCGTTTCTACATCTGCACAGTGAAGGCGAGGTGTATCTCCCTCCCTCCTCGGGTTTCCGAGCTCAAAGGAGATGGGGAGCCTGCTCCAGTACTCAGATACTATAGGAAGCAACCTTGCCGCCACCGAGACTACAAACTACTCTGCTTCCGATTCAAGCGCCAAAGAAGGGGTACTGGTGGCAGCAACCTGAGTCGTACTGGGAAGACAGGAGCAGGACATGAGCCGCAATCGACTCCCGAAGGGCCCAGGACCCCGCTCTCCGGCGTGCCGACCCGCAGGCCCAGGAGATGGGGGAACCCAGACCTGGACAAGGTGGAGATTCCGGAAGGTCTCTACGGCCTGGTAATGCCGTAAGCAGCGATTCTGCCAATTTTCGCCTCCCGGGAGATGAACGCAGGGCAGTTATTCACCAAAGTGAGCGAAGCCCTCCCACCTCTCACCTGTGACCCGCGGCGAAGAGAAAGCGGAGCTTCCGGGAGGCGGGGTCAGGAAAAGGAAGAAGGGAAAGAAAAGGGGAAGCGGCTTCAACTCTGCCCAGGGGACTGCGAGACCGAGCAGGGCGGAAGTGACGTAAGGCGAAGGCGCCGAGCAGCCGGGTTAAACGTACCGCCTCTCTCTCCGCGCTTGGTAGATCAGACGGCTCGCTGTTGTTTGTTGACTTGGTATTTGCACTGCCTTCTGCTTTTGCTATGAGATAAAGTTCTTTGTTCTTTTGCCTGTTGTTGGTGCTACCGGAACTCGTTCAGACTGCTCATTGGCCAATAGTCTTGTCAATCTCTGCCGGAAAGGCCTAGCCTTAGACACCTAGGGAATTTGGTTTGCAGCCCCGTGGTGCACAAGTGAAGACTACCGGAGAAAACCTGAAGGATTTGATGAATTTCAGAGCTTGCAGAGTCATTTTACAGGGAAGTGTATTCAGCCCTGTCTATATGTTAGGATCACCTGGGAAGTTTTGGTCTCTCTAAGGAAGGTCCTGGACAAATTCATGTTTTAAAAGCGTTCCCCTAATCCCACCCTAGAATCGAATGTGCAGACAGGATTGACAACTACTGCCTTTATGCAGTAGATAAGATGAAGATAAGAAACTCAAATAAGTCAGTCTCTGATTTTAGTACTGTATTTAAGTTAATTAAGCCTTGGTTCTTAAAGTAAATGTTTCCCATTCAGTTCAACTACATGTGCGTTTTAACAGTGAAAGTAATCAATCTAACCTACCAATAAAAAGCTGTACATTTTGGGGGGCCAGCAGATGGCATAGCGGTTGCATCGCTGGACTCCCACATGGTTGGACAGGGTTAGAGTCCTGGACCCCCCTGGTTTGAAGGAGGAGAATGGGGAAGGGATTGCAGCGTGGCCATTCCCCTCAGGGATGCTTTCTCACTTTCCCACTCATTCTCTCTCTCTCTCTCTCTCTCTCTCTCTCTCTCTCTCTCTCCATCCCCCACTCATTGTCTCTCTCCCGCACGTGCAAAAGCCTCTACAAAAAAAAAAACTGTACATTTTGCAGAACTATGTAAAATTACCTAATGCCATCAGATAGGGGTCCAGAAATGGAAGATTGATTGCTGTATCTTAGACAAAAAGGAAGGCAGGAGGGAAGAAATAAGGAAGGAAAAAGGACAGAAGGAAAGAACCAATAGAATTTAGGCATCTTTAGAAAAAAGATCAAACTTAATCTACACTGTATTTCTGATAGTATGAAGACTTTGGCAAGTTCTAGGAGCCTCTAGATCTGACTTATGGATAAAGTAAGGTGAACTTAGTGAAACAAGTATCTGTGGTGTCTGGTACTAGAACACTTGGCCTTACCGTGGAAAAAATTAACTGTCCAGATGGATTTCACTTACCATTTGGAAAAGCAGAAGCCCGAGAACCCGTGTTTGGGAGTCTACCTGTTGATAAGCATTATATGAGACAATGACAGATTCTCTGATCTCCATCCTTTGATGGCTCTACTCTGGACACTCACAGAATGGCAATCACTGGTGCTTCTAGCCCAGAGTTTGTAAACTGGAGGTTCACAGACTGTGTTTGTCAAAAGATATGCTTTGTTTATTTTAGGTAGTATTGACCACCCAATGTGGTTAAAAACAAGTACTAAAACTTAGTTGCCAACATTTGAAATACAGATATTGTGTCTAAAAAATCGTGACAATTGGGCTAGCAGGTGGCGTGGATATTAAGGCAACTGGATCCTATATGGCTTATGTTGTTTGAGTCCTGGACCACACAACTTGAAGATCGAGCTGGAAGTGTGTGCTTGCATGCCCAAAATCCCAAGAGAAGAAAGGAGGAGAAAGAATTGCAGCATGGCCAACCCGAGGCAGGGGCCAGAGAAGTTCTCACTTCACCTCTCTCTGGCTATTGGTGTCTCTCTTCGGCAAGCACACACACCCTATAGCAAAATAATGAAATAATATTAATAATAATGAAAATCCAGATTGTCAATATTTGAAAACATTGGTCTGTCAGCATCAGTGTTGTATCCTCACGTGGTCACATTACCTAGAGCAGAATAGCAGCTTCCTCTTTCATTAATAAATCATGTGATTCCTGTTTATCATAAGCCTTACTATTTCTTATCAGGTCCCTGGCACTAATTGAACTTCATTTCAGTATTATCACCTATGGATTGTAATGTGATAAATCAATTGCTGATATAAGTAAGTATCCAATAGACTTTAGTGACTGCATCCTGCCCCTTCTTCAGCTTCCTAGCAGAATCAGAATTTTATTCATGTATCCATTTAGCCCCTTTGGTTCCATATATGTCTTAGGATAAACTGATCTCACCCTCATCACTAAGGGTTGTCTTAATATAAATAGTAAGTTCTATTTGCCAAGCCGAAGTTATAGTCAGCAAAGGAGAATTTAATCAGAGTGAAATTCTTGGAATATTGGCACTGAAGCAGTTTTCTTCCCGATTTTTGTCACACCTGAACCTGTTAGAGCCTTCTTGGTACAGTTCTTGAGAACAAAGCCAACCCACAGGGATGAGCAGAACCAAAAGCTCTCAGGAAGATGGACCCAGATCAAAGTTAAGTCTCTACCAACTTTAACCTATAATTCACGGTGTTAGAGAACAAATCAAAATAAATGAATGAATAAATTCATGGTATTAGAGAAGGTACTGAAATGAGAGCAGACGTTTCTAGAACATTTCTATTTTCACCATATAAATAATCATGTTTTCCAGTACTGATGCTGCCATTGTTTTCAAAAAATGCCAGACATTGGACACCTTCACAGGTATCAAGTTTCTCTAGAGAACAAAAGCAACAGTATATTTATGTGTGCATAGGTTGTGCGTGTGTGTATAGAGAGAAAAAGAGAGGTTGAGAGAGATGAAAGGATGAATACTTGATAAGTCCCAAATTGGCAAGGCAGGCTGGCAGTCTGGAGACTGGGGTCTTCCTCAGCTTGAGTCCAAAGGTAGTATGTTAGCAGAGTTCCTTCTTGCTCAGGGGAGATCAGTTTTTGTGGTATTAAGGCCAAAGACCTTCAACTGATTGGGTAAAGCCCACCCATATTTTGGAGGATGATCTGCCACCAATTTGAATGTTAATCTTACCCAAAAAACACTTAACAGAAACATCCAGAATACTATTTGACCAAATATTTGGGTACCGTGGCCCAGGCAAGTTGATACATAACATTAACCATCCCAGTAAGTAACCATATTCTCCAGCTGGTGAGAAGACCTATTTTTTTCTAAAAGCTCCCAGTCAGTCATCTACCATCTCCATAGTAACCTGTCCTGATCCAAAGAGGCAGTCTCACCCTAGAAAATTGGGAAAATGGAAGAGATGAAAAGGAGAATGGCAGAGAATGTGGTTTGTCATTGACCACATATCCCTTTTCTAAACAGCTACCACCTGTTCGCCATCTTAGTCATGAATAAATAACCCATGAAAAATACCATTTTCCCCTCACTCATAAATGAGAGACGAACTCTAGCAATGCTACAGGTATGTTTAGTGTTTGATTTCGCTGTTCTTTTAAAGCTCTCAGTGCTTGCCTCAGCATAATTTAAGCAGAGTAGTAATAATCCTTCTTTTAAAAGGAGGAAACAGGTATTTCAAGTGATTTTTTCAAATTACTTAATGAATCTTTAAAGGACCCAAGTCTGACTTCCAGCCTGTCTTCGTTAACTATACAATTCTGCCACAAGGTGGCAGAGGCGACATGCCTCCTTCCTTAGCTCCCAGGCTAAAGTTTTGGTTGCAGTATGCTGTGCTCAGCCATGTCTTCACCTTGACTGGAAACCTGGACAACTGCTTAGGGTGGCTTTAATGCTCTCATCAGGGGTAGAATTCAGATACTTTAGATTTTTGCTTACTGTTTTTCATAAACTTCTTGCAAATTTTCTGTTGTTATATCTCCTTGCATTACAATATTCCATGAGCTCTAGATTTGGTTATTCGTGTGCTAAACGTAATTGGAAATCCTTTGTTTATTTGCATTTTTAGACAAATTACATTTTGCCTAACATGACATCACTTGTTAAACAGAAACATGCAGATTTGGAATCGTGCTTTAGACTTAGAAGGTAGGAATCTTCTCAGGAAATCTCTCAGGAAATGCCAGTTCTTACTTTAGTAATTATGCTTCCTACCTGAGCACATTCAAGGAACACTGCTCCAGGTGATGAAGTCCAACTTTGCCTGAGAGTGTCCTGCAGAAATTACCCCCCTTCTTCTGTCCTCAGTCACTCCTACCTTGTAGTAATTTATCACTGCCATACTGTTTTCCTACATCTCACACCCCGCCTCCTTCTTCCCAGGTCAGCTGCTCCACTGTGTTATACCATGCTCAGCCTTCTTATATTGTAATTTCGGGAGTCCAGGGAGCCACAACCAGGCCTCCCATCCTTAGAGAGTGAGGACAGGGAGTCCTAGCAGAGTCTATGGAAACATGAGAACTGATAGGTAGTCACACATTGTCAGAGAGGCCCACAGCCTTTAATACTCTCCTAAAATGCTGAGGTGTCTATATTACAGATATGGAATTGGTCTTTTGTGTTCTTATGCCATGAGATACTCCATGATTAGATTTCTATTTTTTTTTATCATTTTGATATTCACTATGTATTTATCCTGGCTACTACACCCTTATTAGAGGATGAGAATGTGGGACAGATGATACTGGGGGTGTCAGGGAAGTCATGACGTATTTTTGCATAAGCAAACTACAATGACCGAATATATTGTCTTTGTGAATTCTCAGTGGGCAGCTCTACTCGTCCATGTTGCTGTTGCTAGACAACTGGCAGTCCACTTTCCCTTGGAAAAAAAAAAACAACCAGCATCATTCACATGCTTATATTAGGCATTGAGATAGGAGGTACAGAGCATAAATACAAAGATTTGGAATTTCCACTTCCAGCAGCATAGCATGACTATTTTCCTGAAAGTTAAAACTAGTTTTCAGCTTA